AAATAATTCAAACATTAGGATTTTTAAAGTGAATACATATTTCAGGGGCTTTACAACTTATCCCTCAAATTTCTCTTTAGATGTTCTAGACAAAATACGTGAAAACAATTAGGGAAAAACCTAGCAATTCCCTCCACAATACCACAATGTCGATCTGATATGAAATTTATTACCCTTTCTGATCCCAATACTCCACATAAATGTTCAAGAAACCAACACCAATTGTCTTTATTCTCAGCATCAACAACAGCAAAAGCTACAGGAAAAAAACCTACAAAACAAATAGGAACAAGAATATTAGATATACACATGCAGAGAAAAATAGAACAATAAACAACCAGAGAAGTTTGACATTGCTAACATCTAGAGAAAATTCACTTAGTGCCCAACTCCAGAGAAAATTCACACATTGCAACATCCAGAGAAAATTGACTTAGTGACCAGCTACAGAGAAAATTCACACAAGCATAATATCCAGAGAAAATTCACTTAGTGACCACCTACAGATACAATTCACACAATGACAACATCTAGAGAAAATTCACACACTGACCAAAATCCAGTGAAAATTCTCACAGTGGCCACAACCATAGAAAATCCACACAGTGGCCAAAACCAGCGAAAATTCACATTCACTCAATTCCTACATGTATAGAAAATTCACATACTTAGATAAAATTAGATATATTTATAATTACCTTCATTCCCATCTTTCCCCGTTGCAGCAAGCATAACTCCTTTGTATCGTCTTTTCAAAAATGTTCCATCAAGAAAAAGCAATGACCGACAATATTTGAAACCAGCAATGCATGCATGAAAAGCCACAAACACTCTTTGAAACGCTTGTTATCTTCAAAATCTAACTCAAAACGACTACTTGGATTGTTCTTCAATGCCTCATCAAAATATCATCGTAATTGATCAAATGACAAACAAGAATCCCCATATGTACTACATTTTACTTTTTCAACACCCAACCAACCACAGTTATAACTGATTGAGACCCCATACTTGTTTTTCATTTCTTTCACAACATCCACTGGACGAGTTAAAGGTTTTGCACTTACCTCTTCAAGTATCAACCCAGAAACTAAGCTGGAACTTATCCTCGAATGTTTACTCGTACGAACCGCCACACCACACGTATGTTCATTGTTCAAAGTCCTTATGTAGAAGAACCCATTTGTTTTTTCAACAGAAACATGTACACGCCACATACATTCCCTTGATTCCTTATATGCACATTCTGCCGTAACCCTCAGCTTGTCATTTTTAACATACGTAAACTGAAAACCAACCTCAATAGCATACATGCATAAAAAAGTATGGAACTCAACCACACCACCCTCAAACTTTTATCCAACACTCGTAATATTATTCCGCCAACTAGCCGACAATAACACCTTTTCTTGGTGAGAACAAAACTTAGAGAGTGAATTCCTTTCAATATCCATCAGCCTATCACACTCACCATCCACAACATCTACCCAATTAGACCCCACTTCATTCTCTTCATCAGAAGTGCTACATCTAGTAACTGAAACATCAACTATATCAACACCACGTGCACAAACAACCCTCAACATATTTAGAAAATCAATATTATTTCGAACCATACAATTCGGATGGCCCAAAATAGAATATGACATACACATAACCTCAGGTTTCAAATTCTCTCATGTTTTACACAAAATGCTAACCAATTCCTCAAAATTCAATTCGCATGAAACATTAATGACAATAGTATCATTCCCATATTTGCACAGCAACAACACTGCACTGTCCATTGAAACTGAAACAAAAAACAAGAAAAATAATTTGTTTAACATAGAAACACTTCACAAGAACAACATAAAAGTCCAAAGACATCTACAAACTGATATTCACCTTCAAGATGATAAAAAACAAAATCACAGAAACTTAATAAATCACAGAGAAATTTACTGCTAACTATTAAACACAATCATAGAAAAAAATCACACAGAATATCTGTTATGAAATTATAGGCTTCTCCGTGATTTTCACCTCACTACAAGCTAACAATTTTCTATGCGTCATTCTGTAATATTGCACTCATAGAAAAATTCAGAGAAATTTACAAACTTATATACACCTTCAAGATAACAAAAAACACTGCATTGTCCATATAAACTGAAAGAAAAAACACAAAAAAACAACATTTCCTTAGAGAAACAAAAACTTCTATTCATCTTCTACAAACATATAATTTTCTCTGAACTACAAACTGAAAGTGAGTAACAAACTTACAATTTTCTCTGAACTACAAATACAAGTCCAGAGAAATTTATGAACTTACATTCACTTTCTCATATTCTATATGCATTAGAAACTTCTAATAATATGTCCATATGCACTTATAATTTCCTCTGGACTACACAAACAAAAGTGCAGAAAATGAAATTTCTCTGGTTTGAAAAAACATAGAACAAAACTTATCATTGATCAGCATGTTGATAAAAAACAGAGCACAAAAAACGAACTCTAAACATCAAAATCACCTACATTGTAAACACTATTTGAAATTGATCAAAAAACAAAGAATGAAAAATTAATTCCAAAAATAAAAATCAACTCTATCAAGCTGGTCTCTCTCTAAACAAAAATTCAAAACAAAAATCAAAATCCATGTGGAATCTAAATCGAAAACAAACCTGATTCAACTCCACTCAAAAACCTATGCAATCAACACACACTATCAACACTCTTTGAAATTGATTAAAAAACAAATAATAAAAAATTAATTCCAAAAATAAAAATCAACTCTATCAAACTAGCCTCTCACTAAACAAAAATTCAAAATAAAAATCAAAATATATGTGGTATCTCCATCGAAAACAAACCTGATTCAACTCCATTGAAAATCTACGCGATCAACACACTGTAACACCACTGAAATCTCCGACGAAATCTCCAACGAAATCTACACGATCATAGCAATCTTTCTCATCAACTCCACTGAAATCTCCGACGAAATCTCCACCATGAAATCTCCGACGAAAACTCCGACGAAATCTCCACTACAAATTCGGTTTCCAAAATCTATCAGTTAAGTCAACAATATAATATTCAAACAAATTTATGTTATAAAGGAAGGATAATTTAGGTACTTCATAACCTAAAATAAATTTGAGGGACCTTAGCTATCAAAATATATTATTTTGGACCTCTCCTCCTATCAAAAGTACAGGAGAGACCTTAGGCTAATTTTTCCTTATTTTTTTGTTAGGATTTTTATAAATTGTTACTAAAACTTATAATTAGTGACGTTTTTCTGTAACGAAATTTGCAAACTGTTGTTGAAAATTGAAAATTAGTATTTTTTTTTGTGACGATTTTTTAAATTATCTCTAAAATTTATAATTAATAATATTTTCTGCGATAAAAATTTTAAACTGTCATTGTAAATTAATAATTAGTGACATTTTTTTAATAATGTCGGATGAAAAATGTTATAAATTATCATAGAATCTATTAGAAAATAAGTTAACATATTAAGACCTACACATAAGTCTCCTTAATATTATCAAATACGACCCAAGAATAAGAGTGTGCGCGGTGTGGTTTGGCCGGTTCGAGATTAAAATTACAAATCGAATGGCGGGTTAGCGGATTGACAAATTGAAGTTTGGGCGGTTTTTGGTGGATTGGCGGGTTGGGGGATTGAAGAATATTCTAACTAATTACCACACATTTGCATAATATGTAACATTAATTTGTATAATTGTTTTTAGATGTATAACACAAAGTAATTTTATATAATATGTTTCATATATATCTAACCACTAATTTGTAATAAATTTTATATTTTAAATATTTCTCACACTTATTTTTATATTGATATTTTATTGGAAGTTAAAATATATATATATATTAACTATAGCGGAACAGAGCGGTTCGGTTGGCGGATTATAAATTTTAAAGTTCAAATTGCGGCTAGCAGTTAGAGCAGTGTGGATTAATGCGGATCGGTGTGATTTTAGTAGATTGAGCGGTATTTTGCACAATCCTACCTAAGAATATGAATTAGATAAAATATAAGTATTGAGAATGAGATTTACTAAAAACCTCCTTTAATTAATAGATGGAATAATAACCCCATAATAATTTCCGAAATATAAAAGTAAAATTAAGGGGACTTACATGTAAGTCCTACTACGTGGACTTATTATGTAATAGGTTCTATGATAATTAATAATATTTTCATCATACACTATTAAAAAATGTCACTAATGATTAATTTTCAGCGACAGTTTAAAAATTTTATCACTAAAATATCATTAATTATAAGTTTTAGTGGCAGTTTAAAAAATTCGTTACAAAAAGGTCACTAATTTGTAGCTTTCAACGACAGTTTGAAAAATTCATCATTGAAAAACGTCACTAATTGTAAATTTTAGTGACAATTTATAAAAATCGTAATAAAAAAGGTCATTAATTGTCAATTTTTAGAGACATGTAAAAAAATCATCACAAAAAATTATTTTTAGCGACGATTGTATTAAAACTTTTTTTTAATACGATTTGATGAGAATTAAGTCTAATTATTAGGACCTAGTTTATCCTAAAATTAAACTTAGATGAATTACGTGTAGGTCCTAATAAACAGACTTATTGTCCAATAGGTTCTGTGAGAATTAATGGTATTTTTCATCAAACACTATTAAAAAAGTTACTAAATGTTAATTTTCAAAGACAGTTTAAAAATTATCACAAAAAATGTTATTAATTATAAATTTTGACAATAGTTTAAAAAATTGTCATAAAAATGTCACTAATTTTTATTTTCAATGACAATTTAAAAAATTCGTCACAAAAAAATATTATTAATTATAAGTTTTAGTAACAATTTATAAAATTCATGATAAAAAAAATTATTAATTGTTAAATTTTAATAATATAGGTTAAAAATCGTCAAAATAAATTATTTTTAAGAACCATTTTACTAATACGTATTTTTTCAATTGGACTTAATTAGGATAATAGATTACCTTTAAACGCATTTGAAAGTACCCGGCGTCCCGTGCTGCTCTTCAGTCGTTGGAGTAGTCCGAAGCAGAGCCCTAGCCCTCCCACTCTGCCGCGGCTGCCGCAGCAACAACCGCCGTTGATTTACGCCACGACCTCCGTCGCCATAACCGGTGAGTTATTCTTCTTCACTTCTTCTCGCTGAGGGTTTCCAAAATGCTTTCATTTCTTAATCTGATTTCCTATTAAATCCTTGTCCTTGTTTTCTCCTTCTGAAATATCCAGTTGTGTGTGTGTGTGTGTGTGTGTGTGAGAGAGAGAGAGAGAGAGAGAGAGAGAGAATGGCTTACATTCAATATGGTAGAAATATCCTCCGCCATGTGAAGACTATCAAAGACCCAAATTTTCTTCAGAGCTCTGATCATGTATTGCATCACCCGTTGTTATATGCTGGTCAAGGTGTTAGATACAGAAAATTGGAAGTCATTCTCACAACGGTGAGTCTGTATTTAATACTTTCTCTAATTTGCTTCTTTTTCAACTTGATTATTGTTTAGCAATTAGTAATTGTTCTAATTCTTTTGATTTGATGATGCATTCAGACCATAGACAAGCTCGGCAAAGCTGGAGAGACTGTGACTGTTGCTCCCGGATATTTTCGTAACCATTTGATGCCCAAGTTACTTGCTGTTCCAAATATTGACAAATTCGCTCATCTTATTAGCGAGCAACGCAAGGTTATTCTCTATTGCATCTATATGTGTGTATGTATATATATAGACATGTATATGTTCATTCATTTTTATGTCCTTATGCTGTGTATATGTGCTTAGCAATTTTCTATTAGTGAATTACTTTTGTTTGCAAAAGGCTCCGAGTTTTTGTCTTTTTTTTTTTTTTGAAATGGTAAATGCACTAAAATTGTCCACGTGAAATTATTGGTCCGATCTTGAATAACCTCTTCCATATGATGGCCTACGTCTATGGTGTTGACGTGTTTGTTGGTTGAAAGTTGTAATGAGTTTTTGTAATTGACATTGACAATTGTATAAGCTACGGAACAAGTAGTGGTTTTGTGACTTGCCATCTTAGGAAAACTTGGAAGTTTGGTCATGTCAATATGTGTTCAATGCATGAATACAGCAATATGACAACTTCAAAAAGTAGGATATGAGTATAGCAATGATACATTTCAAAGAAACCTTTTAATTTTTTATTTAGGTAAATTCCCACTAAGCTAAGAATCTCCACTCATTGAACCTAAATTTTCTGAACTTATTTTTCTAAAATTAAGGATTTTGTAAACAAAGTCAACGACATTGCATTAAATTTTCAGCAGCCAGCATTAACAGAGGATTATCATCAATAATTTTCAGCAATCGACGTTAACGCTTAACAGAGGATTAACAATTTAACAGAGCCTTGGTTGGTTACTGAAACATTGGAGGAAGACAAGCATGATTTACATGTGATTGTTAGGATTCAATTGCTTGCTTTGGTTGTGGAAAAATTTTCTAGGGATTGAATCAATGAAGAAACAAAGTACCATATAATTGATTTAGATTTCTTCTTTTGTTAAGCCTAAATTGAACTTTAATTTTAAATTTTGCAAACAAGATCCTTCGAATTTGTAATTGAAACAAAAACCCTTATTTTATTTGCTTTCAACAGCCTTCCCGTTTCCTCCCATTTTTATTTGATATGCATTGGATATTTGTACGTTGTCTTTTTGGAGTATCTGTTCTTCACATGCCATTAGGCTAAAGTAGAGTTGTTGTTTCAACTTGTGACTTGGCATTTGTGTTATAACTGGCAGCTTGTTCACTTAGAAGTTGTGAAGATCAATTGTCATTTTGGTGAAATACTTACTGAATGACATTGTTGGATCCCTATTTGGGAGTTTATTTTGGTCCCAAATCATCTAGTCATCACGTGACTTCTAATCTGCTTGTTAGACTTACATTATCGTATATGTGAAAATGTCTTTGCATTTGCCTTAATTGTAGCAAAAATCATGTCAAGTGTTGGTTTTCCTAAGCCTATATATGTGTGTTTTTCATGTCTATTCATAAGCCACATTATGATGTTTTGGTCATCTTCAAGACTTGTAAACGCATTGCTTTACTTAAGATGCCATACATGTTCTATTGGATCACTTTTTGATAGGTTAGCTTGCATGACTTTCTTTTATTTTTTGCTAAGCTATAATTTTATAGAAGAATCATGATAGTACAAAACAACACAATGGAGAGAAACCCCAAAAATCTAGCCCTTCACCATACCCATGATTAAGATTCTCCCTCTTTAGATAAACATCTAGCCCTTTTCCACTACAAATCTTGTCATGATTTGTGAGCTTTGGAGCAAATTTTAGTTGCAAGAATCGTGCATTCATGTCATAATTCTTAGGAAGAATCGCGATTTTGCGATTTGTAGTAAGAAGGTTGTAGGAAACGCTATTCTTTTGGGAGAGAAACGCGCTTCTATCCAAGATGGGATCAAAGAGAAGAAAAACAAAGGAATATGATTTAAAAAAAAAAAAAAATTCAAATATAGGGAAGAAGAAGAAGAAGAAGAAGAAGAAGAAGAAGAAGAAGAAGAAAAACAAAAGGATTCTGATTTTTTTTAGAAAAAAAAAAACAAATATGGGGAAGAAGAAGTCGAATGAACCAGAGAAGTTGAAGGAACACTTCGCGTCTTCAAAGAGAGAGAAGATGATGACATAGCTGGCCACATTTATCTATATTTCTTTTTTTTTTAAAATATTTTATTTTGACCTATCTTATGGTCACGGGCTTCATTTAAAAAGTTAAATGGGCTTCATTGAGCCTATAGTTGGTCTTAGCTTGCAAATTCAAAAAATATTGAAAATTAATTATATTACATTCAAAGCTCATTAAAATAATAGTCATATTATATAAAAAAATATATAAATAACTAAAATAAGGAACTTTAATATATTTGAATAAAGCCCCCAAAAATATATGTTATGCATGTCAATTAAAAATAAAAATAAAAATTATATAGATAAATTAAAATATCAATAAAAATAATACATATGCACTCCCAAACTATGACTCCTCTAAGTGGCCATGTTTTCCCGCTCCCGTTTCATGCAACTAAGGAGCAAATATTAGATATAGAGGTGTTTCTTGTCTTAGTGAAGCTCTTCCTTAATTAAACATTAAGGTAATGAATCAACCAGACTATAAGTTGATCTCCTCTTAAAATTTGATAATTTTCTCGTCAACTAGGATATTCTTTTTGTTCTCCATAACCTCTTTGAAATCGATTTTAATCTTCTCTTGTTCATTAGCATCAATGTATCGCTACATTTGATTCAATTATGACGATTTCCATTGCTTCTTCATCAATTTTATCCTTCTCACCACTATTGAATTCAACTCGATCTCCTACTTCCATTGAGTCTCTATTTGGGTCTTCAAAATTTTCAAACATTGGAGTACTCAAAATCCTCTCTTCTTCAATGCTTTGTTGATCATGACAATTTTGTTGGCTTGTGGAGCTCGACCAATCCACATTCATCAAATTTGTTGGCTTGTTCCTCGAATAATCTGTATCTACGATTGCATAATAGTTATCAAATTGCAAAAAATAATATGAATCAAAATTACCTTGGAACAATATTCGAGCTTTCTCTGGTAATGTTGATAACTTGATACAAAATTTATCCATGATTTGATTAAAGGAATTTGGTGTTCATCAACTTCTTCATCTTTGCTACGTCCTAAGGGTTGTTTATACTCTTCTCTTCAATCACACTGCAATTGTTCCCACTATGTAGAAACATAACCTTACAACTTATGTGCAACATATTTGACTTGTTTTCATATACCCAAGGAATTTGTCAATTTTACTAAACCAATAAGTAAAATCCTTGTCATGGCAATAAGCATTAAAATTGGGAATTTTTGGTTGTACCTAATAATTTGAAATCATGATTCATGTGATTATACGTATTAAACATGTCACCGAATTTTTGATTGATATTCACAATAATCCTCGAATAATTTATTTTCAGATTCGTCCTCACTATTGATTTCATAATAAGAACATATAAAGACAATTTGGCTAATAGGCTTGTTTCAGCAAATCCCATCGCACAATTTCTATTAACATTGTGATTAACAGGTTGTCCTTGGGCAAGTCCCTTGGCGTGGATTTCCCTATGATCTTCGTCAATAGAGCTTGTCCTTCCTACTCCGATGAATAATATCAAGCCAAGAGAATTGTTCTGACACCAATTGATGCAGTGGCATACGCATGGGGACATGTATATCATTTTAGTAGACAAAAAGGGCTCTCAAATTCACAAGAAAGATAAAACCTTGAATCCACAAGGAAGATAAAACTCTGAATATTATTGATAAAAGTTGTTCTTGCCCTAAGGCTTACATGGCTTTTTCTAATAAACTATGTCTTAGAGACCAAACAATCAAAATGAGGAAACAATTAACTAATCTAATTTTGGAAAACAAATAACCAAAAAAGTAGGAAAACAAAATCTAACCAAATTAAGAAATCTAATTACCTTGTTTGGGTTTCAGAAAATTGACTACTTTTTAAAAAATTAAGTTTTTTGTTTTTCGTATTTTTTTTTTAGTCAAAATTTTTAATATTTTAATATTTTAAGAATCTTTTATTTTTATTTTTTAGATGGACCTAACCTAGATACACTTAAAAAGTATAATATTTATGTAAAAAATCTTTAAAAAATTCATCAAATTCAAAAAAAAAAATAAAAAATAAAAAAATTCAGTACATTTTTGTATTCTTGTGTATTTATTTTTTAAAATATTTTTTTCACAAATATTTATGTTTCAGGTGCATCTAGAAAGTAAAAAATATATGTAAAATATTAAAAAAATTCACTAAAAAAAAACATGACAAATAAAAAAATTAGTTTTCAAAAAATTAATCAAAACCAAACAAGGTGAACAATTCTAGAATATTTACATCAAATTACAATATTCCTAATCAAATACTATATTATAAATATTAAACACCAAGAAATATAGAAGCTTCTAAAATCTAGTTCTATGTCAACAGGTAACCAGATTTGAAGGACTGAATAGTAGCTATAACATCATTACCAAGCAAGTCCCAATTCTTCTAAAAAAGGGCAGAGGTATAGCCATCAAGCCCAGGGGCTTTTTCCTCACTATCCCCTAAAGCAGGCCACTTGATTCTGGAATTTTTCTTATAAAATCCTCTTCAGCTGCGCAGAGTTTAGTATATTTAAGAACTTCATGCTTGTTTTGCTGAAGGTCCTGATTAAAAGATTGATAAAAACAAGCCTTTTGAGTAGCATGAAGGTCATTTTTATCTTCAATCATCCTTAAACTAATATTGCTGTAGTGCCCATGATTTAGCTGTTCCATAATAACTTTAATCTTCTGAGTTTGAGGCACAATTTCAACATAGGAGACCCTTTTTCTTCTTTCTGCCAGGAATGCTGTAAAATGTCTTTAAAATTCTTGTGATTCATATCAAGCACAATTTCCCATTGGTAATTGACTGAACCTATGTTTCTCACTTGCTGTGATCAGATTTACCAACCTAAGGAAGTTGAAGAGGTTAAAGTAGTTAAAAAGACAGATGGAGATAGGATGAAAGAATATCAGGCAGCAGCAAAACGTCTCGATGGTGCTAAGCTGGTGTGTAACCTATCTCTAAAGCTCTTAAATGCTGATATAAGTGTTTGGATTTGATTGTTTTTTTATTATTGGAAATTTAATTTTTATTAAATAAATTTTAATTTTTAATAAAACTGAGACATGTTATTTATCTTTTTAACTTTATGGTTGCAATAGGTAATGATTATATGTTATTAAAAAAAAAAAAAAAAAAAAAACTGCATTCAAATTTAGGGAAACTTGAATTTAGTTCACTGTGCAAATGAAGCAAGGGCCTTAATTGACTATTCAAATTCAGAAGTTGGTTCTGAGAGTAAAGATGATAATTTTTAACATTTTCAAAATTTTGTAGCAGAAGAACTGAATTAGTTTGTAATCTGATGGTTCCCATTGTCTATGAAGAGTGATAAGTGCTTTCTTGCTTTAGGGTGTTTTACTGTGCAAATGAAACGTTTGCACAAATGTCTAGCAACTATTCCAATTCAGAAGTTGGTCATAGATGATAAATTTTAACATTTTGAAAATTTGGAAGCAAAGAAGTGACAATTACTTTGTTACCTGATGGTTCCCATTGAATATGAAGAGGCAGGAATAACAATTACTTTGTTATCTGATGGTTTCCCATTGTATATGAAGAGTGACAACTGCATTATTGCTTTAGGAAGTTCACTAAGCTCTTTGATACAAGAAACGAATGTTTATGACCTATCTGTCATGTCACCTGTATAATATGTTTTTTGTTTGATTTTAACAGGTTCTGAAACGGTTTGGCAATGTTGACAATGAATTGCGTTCAACTGTGTCAAAAGATGAACTTATAGCTGAGGTGTGGTTTCACCATTACTGTGTTTATTTGTGAATCTTGTGGATTTGTTTACGCACTAGAAAACAAAATGATTTTTTTTTTTTTGGACATCTATTTGTTCAAAATCCCTATGTCTAATGGTACTTTTGGACTTTAGAGCTTGTGGTAATAGTAGTAGCAACATTTGAAAGTTATGTCCTAGTGGAACATATGGCCTTATGCCTTGGTGCGCTTTCAAGTTGGTGATGGTGGCAATGATAGGGCTACTGTCAATGTTTAGGTGGGGAAGTTGATATTGCGATTGCTTGATAACATGGCGCTTACATGTGTTGTTAACATGGCACTTGCCTGATACCGTATTCAGTTATATATTTTATGTGAAGAAAAATAAAATGGAATCCAATATTCTTACAGGATATAAGGACCTAGCAGTGGATTCTCCATTTTATTTTTATTTTTCACATAAAATGTAATATTCTGTAAGCGCAATCACTGCAAAGTGCTAAAAAAGCTGAATTATACTTTGAAAATTCACCTTTAATTTAGTCTGCCTTGCTTTTGAGCAGTACATATCATTGAAGGACAACAAATATAACAAATTTGTGTGCTTCACATTTGGTTCACTATTGCTTTGGTGTGAAGTGACTGGTAACATGTATGTTGCTAAGATAGACCTATCTGTCAACTTGTGAAAGAACTGAAGCATCTAGAGCATGTAGGGAATAACATTTTATTAGTAAGTGCCTCTGTCACCATTTGCATTGTTCAATTCGATGCGAATGTGATACATTCCTCCTTTGAACATGTATACGAAGCTGGGGACAAATTAAAGATGAGAGTCGCACTGGAAAGTTGAGTTCCCATGCATCCTTCTTGGATGAATGGCACCCTTATAGGTATTGAGTCCCACTGCAATGTGGGTTCTCTATTGGAGATTGCTAACATTAAGATTTTTATTTTTATTTTTATTTTTTATGATTGTGGATAAAATTCAATGCAACGAGCCTTAATCCCATCTTTTGCGGAAGTAAGGTGGAATTTCAATTTTTTGGTTATTTTCTTTGCAAAGCAGATCCTCAATTAAGTCCAAGGTAATCACATCCTTGCTTATGGTCTTAATTCACATTCAATTATTGGATCTTGACTTGCATCACTCATAGAAATCTGATTTGAAAAATTATGTGCACTGTGTCCAAAATTTCTGTTGTCCTAAAATTTGTGGTACAAGTATATTTTGATCATTTGCCTATGCTTTTCATCTACCATGTAGGTGTAAGTTGGGGCCATCAATGTGTCAGATTTGATCTGTTATATCAATAGGACATGTGTTCAAAAGCTTAATTTGATTTTTTATGTTTGAGTACTATGAATGACGATTTTCCTTGTACATTTTCTTTTGAAATTTAATGGATTGAGTGGCTCTAGCCATGAATATCGGGATAATGCTTACAAACAGGTATTGAATACCAGTCACTTTGTACTGATTATGTTGTACTATTATCAGGTGTCGAGGCAGCTTTTTGTGCAAATCGAACCCGAAAACCTGCAACTTCCAAGTCCTTTGTCGTCTTTTGGAGAGTTTGAGGTGCCACTCCGCCTGCCGAAGTCCATTCCTTTGCCAGAAGGGAAAGTTCAGTGGACTCTTAATGTTAAAATCCGAAGGAAGTGAAGAAAGGTTTCTTTGCTTATGGGTTGTATGGTCCTGATTCCTGCTCGGATGACAGTTTTGGCCTGAGTATTAATCCTTGTCAGAGCCACCCAAAATGTTTTGACTCTTGCGGTTTTTATTTTATTTTTTTATAATGTAATCCCTCAAATCTCATATCCATGACTGGAGATTGATTTCTGTCTACTAGGGCAAGAGTTTTGGATTTGTTCCTAAATATTTTTTGTGCCAACAACACACTTGTAAATTGTGGGAACTTGCCATTTCCTTAGCTTAAGCATGTCTTGATCACAACAGTTTGATCCATGATGTTCCTCTCATAGGAATGCATGCTGGTTTATCTTGTTTCACTTTCTTGGTACAGATTATATTGACCTTTTTTGCTTGACATGATATTATATTGATTGTGAGGTGTGGGGCTTTTGCTTCAAGCAATATGCTGCTCAGGGTACTCCCTCTCTCCCCACCTCTCCTGTAAATATTTTGGTGCTCTTGCAAGCATTAATCTGCACTAATAGAAACATGTTACACCATTTTGTTACGAGTAATGATATATAAAAAATTTATATAGAATTTTCATACATCATGTGATTTAATTGGGATTCTAAAATAAGTCATTCTAAAATACACTTTCTAGTTTGTATCATGTACAAGTTATAATATTTTTCTAGACTCAATGATGTGTAAGTGATTGTTTGCCATATATTTTGTATCAGCCAATCACAGCCGGACAAGTGATCCATTAGGGGTTATATGAGGAATTAGTAAAGGTCTCTAGTCATCAGAGGATACGTGGCAAAATTACATCAATGTCAATAGATCTGCGAAGTACTGGAACAATTGAAAGGAGCAAGGTGACGTGGCTAAACGGCTCATGAAGATTTAAATTCAAATTTAAGAGGAAAACCCAACTGCAAGAAATGACTTAGTGGAGGTAAAATGCTTGAACCATGTCCCATTATCATGAAGGTTGCTTTTGATGGTTATTATCCACTTCGACAATTATCAGCCATTTTGACGGTTACTTCCACAACTTATAAATAGAGGAGAAAGCTCATAGTGGAGGAACTAGAACCAGATCCAGAAGTCAGTTTATTTTATTTTACTTTACTTTCTTTCAGTTTTTTATTTTTCCATTTCTTTACATTCCAGTCCTTTACTTTTCCCGCACTGCATTTCAGTTCCTTAGGAGTAGTTCTAAGTTTGTCTGTTCATGTTGTAATTCCCTTCGAGATAGTGGAAGTGCGAAGGTACATTTGTAAACATCTGTCTACTTAATGAAATTTATTTTCTGACACTGTTCTCCCCTTCATTCTTTTATTTTTGTGAATTGTTCTTCTGAATTTTCTCCTAAAACAAGCCACTAGTAAAAGTTTTCTTCATTGAGGCTAAAAGAACTTCGAAACAATTGACTGATTAATTGGTTAGCATTTATTATTTCTGTAAAGACTTATTGATCATTGTTGGCACGCTCTAGTCATATTTTTAACTTTCGAAAGCCAAAAAAGCCAATATATATTTTTGGCACGCCCGGTGGGACTTCCATTATAATGGCTAGACGTAAGAGACAAAGAAAAAATGAACGCTTCGAAGAAGGTGTAAAAGGAGATCTAGAAGCACATAACATAGAGGATAATGTTGAGTCATATCCTGTGGATGTGCCTTCTTCAAGTGGTCGTGCACAATTGGTCGAAGAGACTAGTATTTCAGGGCATGCAACACAAGTCCAAATGTTAGACAAGGCCAAGAAACCGGACCTTCAATTGTTCCACCTGCCCAACCAGTAAATCCGTGTGGAGGATTGGTTAATGTTATGGGGCAACAATTAATGCATACAATGGAAAGAGGGCAATATCCTTTTTGGATTGAATGAACTCCTATCAACCACCTGCCATTAGACAAACTGAAGAAAATATAAACTTATTTTAGGTTAGACTGGCTTGAGATAAACAACCTATGTAAAGTAATGGACAAAATAATGGGCAAACTAGTGGTCAAGCTAATAATCAAAATCATAAGAGACTATCACCTATGCCTCAATCATGGTACGTAGCTCCTCTTAGACCACTAATAAGTCAGAGCATACCTTTGCCTACCAGTAAAACCACACATTGATGGATTTGGGTTGGCACAAGGAAATGACATTCGAGTGTTTTCAAATCCTATGTTTGAACCTATGTCTAGCACTTGAGTATTCACTAATCTTGTGTTCGAACTTACACGCGGGGTGTTGGAAGGAATTCTTGTAGTTAGAAGAGAAACAACACATGTTCCTCCTCTAGTGGTTCCCTTCGCAGCACCTTTTGTGGGACAAATACTTGCCCCAAAGGGGCAACCACACCCTCAATCAACCAGTATAACAGGGACAACTAGCCCCACATGTGCCTTTACATGGACCAAGTGGGCTTCAAGCACAAGGAGTTCCTTTAAACCTTGTGTTTGTTCCTCTAATAGTGGTCCAACCAACATAAAATGTTGTACCTAGGGACCAAATTGCTGACATTATTAGAGAAATTTGTGGGCCTATGGCCTAGGGGGTCCAAACCCCTGTCTACAGAAAACCTTACCCAAATTGGGTAGATATGTTGTATGAATACCCAAGAGGGTATAAGATACCAAACATTGCCCTTTTTTATGGGAATGGAAACCAGTCAACTATTGAACATATTGTAAGGTTTACAGGGCAATGTGGTGAATTTACCAACAATGACTACATGAAGTTGAGACTCTTTCCAAATTCTTTAACTGGAGCAGCCTTTGTGTGGTATACAAACTTTACACCTGGTTCTTTTCAGACCTGGCAACAAATAGAAGAAGTGTTTCATGCCCAGTTTTTTCAAACAGAGCCCGAAGTGTCTATGGCAAACTTGGCAAGGTTGAGCCAAAGTCCTAATGAGAAGGTTGCTCAATTCATTGCCAGATTCAAGAGAGCACGAAACAAATGTAAGGTCATATTACCTGAACCTGAATTTGTGAGGTTGACCCAAAATGGGTTAGAGTTTAGACTTTGAAAGAAATTTGACTCAATAGAGTTTCGAGACCTAGTAGAACTAACTTAATTATAAGGTCATTAGATATGAGACCTTCCTTGAAGAAGAATAAGATCTTGGTAATGCATCTTATAGGACCTATTATAGGGACCCTAACTTTGAAATTGCTGCAGCAGAGATCATAGGAAAGGAGCCTGTGACCTGCGAAACATTAATTCAAAAGGATACAACTATTGATCATCAATTTAAAAAGAAAGACCTATATAGGAAATATTCTTTTGATGTATCAAAAGTAGATGAAAGATTTGATCATTTACTACCAGCGTAATTTCTAAAATTGCCTAAGGGGTTAAAATCACAGCTTCAGAAGAAATTAAAGGCAAAATGTACTGTAAATGGCATAATTCTTGGTCTCACTCAACTAAAAATTGTATTGTTTTTCGAGACAGGATTCAAGAGCAAATTCGGAAATGAATGTTAAAATTTCTGGCCAAAGCAGAAAAGGCAATGGAGATTGACACAGATTCATTTCTTAAGATTAGAGAAGCAGTAGCCAATGTTGGTTTGCCAGACTTCCTTGCTCATGCTATGGAAAAGAGTTGTTCCTTGAAAGAATTGGAGGAAGTCGATGTGCAGATGCATGTTGCTAGTCAAGTAGCCTTTAGGAAGGCTACTCAAGGCTCACCAACAAGTAGAAAGAGCTTCGTAGACCAGCAGGATGGCTCCAGTGAAGAAACCAACACTCTGGATGATGACTCACTTGAAGCAGCAGTGATGTAGCGGATGTGTCCAAGGTGCATGTTGAGCTACAAGTGGCTAAAAGGGTTTCTAACTGATGGGAAGCAGTATTACAAGGACATGCAAAAGGAGTGTAGGGCAGCCAATACCTATAGGAAGGTTTACCTAAGTGGTCCTAAGCAACAACTATCTTTGGTTGTGCCACCGGAAGCCAGGAATCAGTCAAGGGGTAAGAGGCCTTTGTATGAAACGAGGCCACCAAACTACTACAAGATGATCAACAAACCTATAAGTAGGCCTGGGTTAGGCTCAAGATAGGAAACCAAGGCCAATGATTGGCCCTCGAAGAGGAGAACAATAGGCACAACTCCTGGCATGGTGGGTTCATGGGTACCAGGAGTACCAGACTGGTTTGTTATGCAAAAATGATACCAAGCCAGGGTAAAGCCTTTGCAGGTAAGGATAGAATGGTCAAGCCTCCTTTGGTGGCTCCAAACAATTGGATTTTGCTCAAAAACCCAAAGAAAAAGGAACCAAACATGGTTCCTGTGATCTCTAGATCCTAGAGACGAAAGGTCCAACAAAGGTTTACACGATATCAGAAGAATCTAGAAGAAGTGGGTGAAGGTGCTTCCTTGGTATAACCAAGAGGACAATTAGGGAAAAAAGGAAGTTCAAGGCCCATTCCCAAGACCAACAAGAATCAAACTAGCAGAGAAAAATTGGTTGAGGTTCATGCTGAACTGAAAGCCAAGGAAAAATCAAGTTTGGCAGGCCTCGAAAAGGCCTTATTGCAGAGTAATGATGAGACTGAGATAGATGAAAGAACTGAACCTAGCCAGGAGATGATATTGGCTGAGAATGAGATGTTCGAGGCCTTCATGGCTGAGCACACGGAGTCTGTGTTCATGGCAGACCAGCAATAGATTGCAGATCATGCCAACTTGGAGGTTCCAAAGTGTAGCATGGACATCGCAGGCATCAGGTCAAACCAACAAAGAGGGGGAGCAAATGTAGCCATTGGTACAGTTTGGCTCATTTTTTCAATGCCAATCAATATGGTCTATGTGCTGCCGTAGAAGTCTCAGGCTGAAAAGGAGAATCAGGAGGGTTAGGAGAATGATCCCATAGAAGTCTCTAGTGAGGGCTCACAGACCAGCATAGTCCAGGATGAGTTTGAAGTGGCCAAACCCATGGAAAGTGATGAAGAGAATGAAGAGGTAAGTATAGTTACCTTGTCACATCCTTTCGCATATCCCATAGTATCTATGACTCAGCATGTTAAGCCCCTATACATCAAGGCATATTTCGATAGGATAGAAATGAACACTATCTCATGAAAAGTCTCCCAGTAAAGCTGTGCATACTGCTTGATGGTCTGATCCTCTGTCTTTTTTAGTGCCATAAGTGTATCCAATCCCTTTGCCCTTTTATTGTTTGTTATGAACCATTCAGAAAACTTATCAGCTAGCTGTTTCCAACTATCGATGGATCCTACTTGGAGCTTGTCATACTAGGCGCAGGATGTTCTTCCCAGGCTGGAAGGGAAGATTTGGCACATAAGTGCCTCGTTCTCGTTCCAGAGGGCCATGGCATAGCGGTAATGGCTTAGATGGTCTAAGAGGTC